CTGGGCTGGGCGGGAATGAGCCTCAAGAGCGAAATCGGGTTTCTAACTCTCCTACTATTCTGCGGTTTCAAAAGAAGCTGCAAACTACTATCTGCCTGTGTTGAATCGTCTTCAGAGTGCGCACTCAAGTAACAGTACTTTTACACTTTGATCTTGCCTCTATGTCTCAAATAGTGTGATTTCTTTTTTTTCCTATTATTTCCCGAATGCAGATATATGAATTGGTAGAACAAATTAACCAAATGAAAGTACACCGGGAATTCTACCTGGAGTTCAGTCAGGACCCCCAGGGTTTCATCACTCGGTGGCTCGCCAGCCAGTCGCATGACCTCCAGGTGATGACCGACGCCGTGCCTGGCCATCCTGAGGAGGAACGCCGGGCCGAGTTCTATAGTGCCTCCTGGATGCAGGAGGCCGTTAAGCGATACTTTTACAATCGGGTCAGTGCTCCTTTCTCCCCTTTTAAACCTTCATTGTCAGGTCGCTGGCTCTAAGCATTCCGTTGGTGCAATTGCTCATTATTAACCTCTTTTTACTGGTTGATCTGACCCATATATGGTCAGTAATAATTCTTTTTTTTTACATTTCGGTATCAGCTGACAAGGCAGTTTTTTTTGCTTTGAACACAGGTTATACAACGTCGTCATGAATTGGAGCAAGCATTTAATCTTGGCGGCTCTTAATGATCTGGACCGTCCCTCGTTGCTGATCACTACCCCTTTGGGCCTGGATCACCCCCTCTCCTCCACCATTGTTAATGCCCTCTTTCCTCCTGTTCATGTGTCATCTATAAGCCAGCCTCGTCATATTTTATGTGCTTATAATTTCTGAAATGTCTTCTATGTCCACACTCTGAGGACCCGGGGACTGTTACTGAACTATGCGAGGCAGAGCCCATGCCGTTTTCCACTTCGAATTTAGTTCATCTGCGATTTAAATTGGTCAGACACGCCTGCTCATAAGAGCTCAGTTCGTGGATGCTGTTTTGAAAGTATTTCTAGGACTGTACGGACTCATAGCTTCTGGCAACCTTCAGGTATTTGATTGGAGTAATTGGAGCTCAGAAAATTTCCGTTCGGGGAGTCCAGCGTTTCATAATTGCCTTTTACTGTTGACAGTAGGAAAGCGCTACCTCGCGCTACCTCGCTGGAAGGGCAACTACTCATGTGTGACAACCCCGACTCGCAAACTAACCCCAACTTGGTTCCTTACCCTAACGCCAATTTCCCTGGAATTAAGCGCAAAGCTGCCGGTATTGTAGGTGGTTCTTTTACTTATGCATCGCCGCCGGGCTTCCATTTGACACACAGCTTTGAAGACTAGCCAAAGAGGAAGACTGACCAACAGTTATTTTAGTCGGCCTATTCTGCGTTAACCTGCTTGTCCGACCAAAACAGACACTTCATTGGCTCATGGCATGTATCAATTGGGTTTAGCTGAGATTGTGAATCCCTAACTATTGCTATCGTTGTGCTTATGGCACACGTTAGATGGGGCCCGAATAAGGGAAAGAGAGCAGATCTAGCACGGCTTGAATCATCAGGATAGGATAAAAATCCTGACATAGTGCCCAACTGCGCGCTGATGAAGGCTTTTCTTGAAATGAGGCTCATACTGCAACCGTTTCTTTGGGCATTTGTGCACCTCTGTGAGATCGGCGGGCCTCTCTCTCTGAGGTCTGATTTATGTGCATCAGGAAAGTGGACGTATTCTCCATTCGAATATTAGTTATCTTCGTGAAAAGACGCCCTAGGCAAGCCTTTTCACGAACCTTCCTAGCAGTCAGAGTTCAGGTATTATTCTCAACCAACCCGTT